ACTATAAATATCTGTCATATAACATATTAAAATTATAGTGCCTTTTCTATAAAATGGTCATGGATAAACCAAGTATATATTTAATACAAAGGAATACAATAAACTATATATTTGGGTGGTGTTCTGTAGATTGGATGCCCCCCCCCCAACCTCACTGAAGGTTAATTTCCACTGTAATTGTTGAGGGTGGGAACTCCTAACATGGTAATTGAAAGGCAGGGCCTTGAAGAGGTGATTAGATTGTAGGACTGTGCAATAGTGAATGGATTAATAATGGTGGTCAGGGGTGTGATTCTGAGGGCTTTGAAAGAAGAGTGAATGAGGAGGTTGGTTTCTAGCTCTCTCTGCTCTGCCATTTTCTGCCATGTGAGACCCTTGGGTCACTGTTGCCACCACCAAAGCCTTCACCAAATGTGCTCCCTGGACCTTGGACTTCCCAGCCTCCAAAAGCATAAGCAATAAATTTTGTTTTCTTTATACATCACCCAGTTTCAGGTATTTTGTTATAAGCAATAGAAATTGACTAATACTGGAGGGCGTTTAAAATGTCATGCTTTATTGGCCACTGACAGTCCAGTGCTTTTCCACTGATGGTCTCTCTGCTTTTCTGAATTTTCTGAGCTACTGAATGCAGTGGGTTAGTGAAAAGCTGAAATGAGACATTGGAAGTTTTAGGAAGTTTACCTCACTTCTGAGGCTCACATATGGTCTCTTTCTGTTCATTCTACCATCCTATAAAACTAAACTTTTTTTTCTCTAAAATTAATACACTAGTTAGTTCATTATATGCTAACTATAATTAACATTAAGGAAACTTATAATAATTAAGTGTGCCATCTTAGAACTTGTAGACTTTAGGGTATGCTAGATGGTCCTGCTTTAGAACATTGTTAAAGGCATTTGAAATGATAGTTTCTATTGCTTTAGTTAAGCTACACACTTTAAGGCAAAAAGGGCCTTCTAAATCATTTTACCCATTATCAAAGTACAGTAGTCTGTGTTCAAAAGTCTGCGTTATTTATGATGTTTATGTTGAGGTTTCCCTTATCAAAAAGCATTTTACACATAAGAGTCAATCATTTACTTTCCCTTTTGCCCTCCTCTAACTCCTTAAATAGTTGAAAGTTACAAAGGTGGCAATTTAGCTACATACCAATGAAAGGCACAAGACACACTGAGTGGTGTTCAATTACTCAGTTATGCATTGAGCCTACTTCTTACTTTGTTAATCTGGTAACAATTACTACCAGGTCATTAGCAATAACTTGTGAAAAAGGTGTTTCAAAACATCTCTCACAGAATCCTCAAAAAGACAGAACAGCTTGAATGTAGCTTCCTTTATCCCTCAAAACAAGTCTGGTAAAAGTGGCAAGCAGCGAATCAAGTATGGTAACTAAGTGACAGCAAATGGACAAAAGGACAAAAAAGCAAAGATATGGAGTGAAGTCTCTCAGAGAGGATAAAGGATAGTTGATTTCCATAATTGTCACATGAAAAAGTTAAGATTGTGGTTTATTGATACTGAAAAGCCATTTTAAATTTTATTTAATATTCATCATCTTTTCCTAGGTATTGATTTCTTTTGCAAGTTAAAAAAATATTGAATTCCACTGGTAGTAATTTGAATAAAACATTTCAGAAAATGGAAATTTTTTACTGTAGGATCCCAAACACTATTAATTTAGAATAATCTATTTTTACAAAATGTGTATCAGCTGTCTCTTTCAACTTTATTTTTCTTGCCTTCCCCTATTTTGAAAGTTAACAAATTTGATTAAAATGACAAAGCCACTTAAGCTGGAGAGAATGCTAAGATTACCAAGTGTTATCTTAGCCCTTTCAAATGCAGGACTTTGAGTCTCTTTAATTTTTTCCTATCCTCAAAATAAAATACCAAATGGTGAAATTCTTTAGGATTTACAATTTTAAAATATACACATTTGTGTATATACACATATATAGTTAAATATATGGCATAGAGAAATATAACTATATAATACTATTTTTAAAACAATGAAGAAATAAAAATAAAATAGAACTAATAACAGGCTTTCCAAGAGTAGTATAAATAGCTTATATATTACAATCTCTACCCAAAAGCAATGCTATGTAAATTCAATTTATAGGCCCTGGATAGCTTCCCCAAGGTAGCCCCTCAAAAGTGCTCTACTGATATTTTCAAGAAACTAGAAGCATACTTCACCTTGGAAATGTTATATTATAAAGACACTTCCATTAGTGATTTTATATACCTCTACATACCCTTCTCAAATGTGAAATAATGGATAAGTTCAGGTAATAATTTTTGCTCTCTTTCAAATTTTATGACTAAAATATTGAGTTGTGTTTTATGGCCTACATTTATTATATTCTGCAGAGTCAGTGAGCAGCTTTAGGCAAAAAATACCTTTAAAGTCTGGAATCAGATACGAAAAAATCAGAGGTTTGAGTAATCATATATTCAGCAAGCATTAAGAATTTTCCAAAGATTCTGAAATACAACTAAATGTTGCATACTGTGTAATATATGAGCAATAATTTTCCAGCCCTCTGTACAATTTCTTTTCCTTTTTTGGCTAGAATAATTTTCTATTCAAGTATGGACCAGGATTGTTGCTATAAACTTTATTTCCTCCATAGCAGTTTGGGTAGTGGTTTTGGAGGATGAGTTTGTTTAGCAAATTTTACACTGACAACAGTAAGGAATTCGTATTAATGACAAATTCTAAAAGGATCATAGCAATTAAACAGTCTCAATTTCTAAGAGTCAAACTGAAAGAGGGAAATTAAAACAGTGGGAGACTAGATAACAAGTAAGGTTATATAATATTTACACAACAGAACAAAACTCCAAAACATCTTTAGATAGTTTTCTTTTTAAGTTAGGTTCTCATTTTAATGGGCCAGATACAATTTCTTAATATAACTTTTTAAAGTAGAATGAAAACATGGTTTCTATGGAATAAAATGAGATGGAAAGAGCAGGATTCTGATCCAGATTCTAATCTTGCTGAACAACTACCTACCTTTCTGTAAGATCTAGAAGATCCTAGAGCTATTGCAATCACTTTGATAAGCTTTCATTTCTTTACTTACCAACACGTAAGTCTAAGACTTACCCTGGCTATACGTGGGATAGTGTATTTGTAAATAAAAACATTTTGAACAATATAATGTAAGTTATTATTAGGGAAAAGCACATGACAGGCACACTTAATTTTCACAGTAGTATAACTAGTACAGGCTGGCTTGGTTGTAAATTCAGTTTATTTTATGTCTTTTAGCAACCTATAACTTCAGAGCCCATTTGCAAAATTCTGCACTAGAAACTGTCTTTATGTTGTATTTGGCCAAACAGATCTACCTTCATTTTGATGGTTAGGTCACTGCTCATTATTGGTAGTGATGACTAAAATCCAGTTAGAATATCATAAAAATTATGCAGTATGTAATAAATTCCACCACACTACTGAAGCATTTGAGATATAATTTACTTTCCGTAGAATTTAGGTCAAGAACAGAAACAAAATTATCATGTATGCATAACCTCAGTTTTCCTCCCTCAAGTACACAGAAACAGCAAATGCACTAAGATTTCTTTGAAGAGGTTTGTGGTTATAACGTTTACTTGTTTTTTACATAGGGAACCTTTCTTGGCCTTTAAAAAGTAATTTCGAAGTGTAACTGATGTATTTTTGCCACCAATAAAACAAATACATATGACAAAATGAATGCATAGTCATTTCAGCCTGTAAGATTTGTTTTTAAATTATTCTGTTTGCAACCAGGGGAAAAATATGAGATCATTTCTTTCCCCTCTGCCAACGGCAAGCTGATTTCCCCAGCCCACGTGGACAGTTGAGCAGTAAGTCTAGCGTGCTTCAAGTCTCCTGACCCGTGTTGTGTCATCTGTGGGCACACAGGCATCCAGGCTAGTACGCTGCGTCTCGGGTTCCACTACAGATGGAAATAAGTGGCTATCCCGGGGGTCTGCCCCATCAGTCCACGGATAGGGGAAGGAAGCAATGAAGGGTCCGCGGCAGAGAGCACGCAGTTGCTGCCATCTACTCCTTCGTACGCACGCACACCATACTCCTCTCCCCACGTGCGTTCCGAGTGCTGGGTCACAAACACACACTCACACACACACACGTGCGCACGGAACCTCGCCCGGCCTCAGGCCCCGACACGTCCACTGCCCACCCCAAGCTCCCCGCCCCTCTCTCCCCAGCCTCTCCCGGACTCCACGTGGGCGCACCCCGGCGCCAGGCGGCCGCGCTGCCCAAGGAGCCCCTCGGCGGCCCCGCGCTGGGAGGGAAGGCGCGGCCCCGGGGTCGGACGGACAAAGCGGGCGTCCAATCGAGCCCAGCACTGCCTCCCCGAAGGGAGGGAGCGGCGGCGAGGACGGGCCCAATGAGCGGGGAGCCCGAGTGGGACTTCCTCCCGGAATCCCGTTGGCCAGAATAGCGGGG